AGTTCAAGAGAAGTCCGAATACATGCTATTACCATACATCAGAGTTTTCAGATCAGTAGATATAATATTTCTTTTCTAAGTTAAAAAAAAAATATAAGGTATTCCTTTGAGCTGTATAATTTTTACATGAGAGGAAATACTGTTGAGTATTTTCATATAAATATCCACACTGACGCATTGCGTTGGGTTCAATATTTGCATGTAACAAATCCATGTTAAGCACACTGCATTTATTTCTAAATCTTGCGTGCACAACATTTAAATATCTATTGCCAAATGTGTAATATCTAGTGGGTGATTTGTTTTTATGATATTCTGTTTAATTGTTAATTAAAACATATTTAAAGTGAGTTCATTCCTAATGCTTAAATCGAGAGAATTTCACAGTTTAATACTAGATAAAATGAAATATTCTTGATAAAAGAACACTCTGCTGGGAATTTGGTATATATTTCGACTACTTAGATTGTAATTGTTTGTTTCTGCATCGGTAGGAGGTATTAAATCTTTTTTTTATCTTTTATTTGTTTTTCAATAGTCAGGATTTAACATACATGTACCCCTACACTACCACCTGACAAGGGTATCAAGGGGTTACATATAAAAAATAATTCAGTATACAATATATATCACTGACAAGTTGATTTTTATAATTATACATGTAGTATTTAAGGTTACATATAAATTTTATTTGATTATATTCTCTCGCTCTCTGACTTTCTCTCATACAATACAAATACTCTTCACTCATTTGTTTTGCTACAATATGTACATGATGTATCTTGACTTACATTTTAAAAACAAAATATTTTAAAGAAAAAAAAACAAAAAAAAACTCAAGGCTAAATATTTGCTCATGATATATAGATATTTTATTCTCTCACTTATATGAAACAATAATTAATTAAATATTACATGTAAAGGAGACCAAAATTTTTCACACACTTGGACTCTATTATTTTTCTTTGCAATATAATATTCAAGAAATTGGTATTTCTTTATTCTATTCTTTAACCCAACCATATTTGGTTTTCTTTCATTTAATTTACATTTGTATATATAGTTTTTTGTAATTATGACTAACAGATTCAGTAATAAACTTTCATGTTTGCAACCAAGAAACACATTCTCTTTGTTAAGAACAAAGTTTACAAAAAAAAGTTTTACTGCATTTGAAAAAGACTGCCACAATTGAAAAGTTATTGGGCATTCAAAAAAAAGGTGTTCAATGGTTTCTTCACCAAGTTTACAAAAAGTACACATCTTGGTGTCTTTTAATTTAATTTTGTATAAAAAGGTATTAGTTGCTATGATTCTATGCAAAAATTTGTATTGAAAAGTTCTTAAATAAACATCTCTACATGATTTTTTGGTTATCCTGAAATATTCTGACCATTCTGTTGTATCAATAATCAACAGTTCTTCCCATTTCGAAAACTTGACTGTTGGTAGTTTAATAACTTTATTTACTAAATTTTTATATACAAATTTGGCTTTCACATTACCTATAATTCTCTTTAAAAAAATATCACCATTATCAGGCTTATCCAAATCTTGCTTTAAACAGTTCTCTTTAAGGTATTTTTTCATAGTCTGAGGGATTCTTGAAATCAGACCATGATATTTGATAAAATAAATTGCTCAAATTTATAAAAATTCATATTTTCTTTATTAATTAGGTCACTTACTGACTGCACACCTCCTTGTTTCCATTGAATATAATATGGGAAATCATCCAAAGAAGAAAAGTTCAAAATATCTAATGATAAAATGTCACTGACAGAATTCTCAGTATTAGGTTTTGCGATAGAAAAGCATAGTAAAACATCCTTCCAGAAAGGATTTTTACATTTTTTAGAAATCTCAATCAGCTTTTCTTTCTGTAGATGTAAAACCCTTTCACCCCCATACTGTATAAGGTCTGCCAGTAACAACTGCTGCCAGCCACCAACTGGGTTTGACATCAGTCTTTTTATCCAACTAATTTTTAAATAGATATTAAAGGAATTAAGATGTACCATATTAAGTCCACCTTGTGAAATATCACCAATAAGTGTGTTACGCTTAATTCTGTCTGGTTTTCCACTCCATATAAAATTATAAAATAATGAAGTGAGCTCTGTTAACCTGGATTGTGATAGGTTTGGCAATGCAGTCATTAAGTGTACCAATTTAGAAAGAGCAAGTGATTTAACTACTGTAATTTTCCCCAATAATGTTAGTTTACGATGTTGCCAGCTCTTCAGGATTGCAGAGACTTCTTTAATCTTTTTGGCAAAATTAATTTCTGTGATGCAGTTTAAATCTAAAGAAAATTCAATCCCCAAAAGTTTAAAATTTGAATGTGACCAATGAAGTTTTAAGTCAGGACAAAGAATCATATCTGAATACTTTTTGTTTCCAACCCATAGTGCTTTTGTCTTTGAAGCATTTATTTTTAAACCTGAAATTTTATAAAAAGATTCAAAACATGAAAGTGTTTCCCTCAACGATATTTCCCTTCCATCTAACATAAGGAATGTGTCATCTGCATACTGGCTTAAAAGTGATTCATTATCATTTACAGTTATTCCCCTTATTTCAGGATTATCTTTTAATTTTAAAGATAGTAATTCAACACCAATTATAAATAAATAGGGTGAAAGAGGATCTCCTTGTCTGCAGCCTCTTTCCAATTGAAAAAACTTAGAAGTATGTCCATTATTTATAACACAACTTGATGCCCATGAGTATAAAGTTTCAAACCATTTACAAACTGAAGGCCCAAAATTAAAACTTTTTAAAGAATTTTTTAAAAATAACCATTCTAAGGAATCAAAGGCCTTTTCAAAATCAACAAGTAATAAAAGACCTGTCTTATTATTTTCTTCAAGATAGTGCATTAAATCATATAAAAGGCGTGTGTTCTCACCCATAAATCTATCTTTGATGAAACCTTTTTGTGTATCACTTATGACAAATGGTAAAACTGGTTTAAGTCTATTAGCTATAACAGCAGAAGCTATTTTCATATCAGTATTCAAAAGACTAATAGGACGCCAGTTACTTATATACTGTCTGTCTTTCCCCTCCTTAGGAATGCATGTAATTACACTTTGATACTGAAAATCAGAAAATTTTCCAACCTCGTATCCAAAATGAAGAGACCGAAAGATGAAAGGACCAATATCTTTCCAAAAAAATTTATAAAAGTCTACTGTGTACCCATCAGAACCTGGACTTTTACCATTTGTCATAAATTTTAACGAATCAGCACACTCTTTAAAAGTTAAATTTCCCTCACAAAAATCTCTTTGTTCTTCTGTGAGCTTAATGTTATGATTAAAAAATGATGAATCATCACAATCTAATTTTTTGCTTGAGTATAAATTTCTATAAAAATTTTGTTGTTCCGTTAGAATTTTTGATTGCTCTGATATATGTTGACCTTTATCATCTATTAGTTCTGTTATTGTTTTCTTTATAAAATTTTTCTTTTCTAATTTACAAAAATAATTTGAACATTTTTCACCATTCTCATGCCAGTTAGAGCGGGATCTAAGCAGCAAACCTTCAACCTTCTTTTGTCGACAATTTTCTAATTCAAGTTTTTTATCAAGTAAAGATTTTTGAACCTCCTCATTTGGAGAATGGTTCATAATAGTTTCTAAATGTAAAATATTATTTTCAAGTTTGAGGGTGAAATTTTTTTCCTCCTTGGATTTATTTATGCTGTAATTTATGGACAAAGATCTAATCTTCATTTTCAATATTTCAAAAAATGTTTGATCATTACATGACAAATCAACAGAAAGAAGATCTTCCATATCACCTGACAGATAGTATTCCAAAATAGTATCCTTAATGCATGATTTAACCTTTTGTATATAATCTGCATCTCTGAGTAATTGAGAGTTAAATTTCCAGTAACTTTTGCCCCGTTTCTCTAAACAAGCTGAGAAGGTGAAAATAATTGCTGAGTGGTCAGTTCTATAACCTGGTATAATTTTAGTATCTTTCATTAGTGAAAAAAGGTCTTCTGAAATTAAAAAATAATCTAAACGACTTTGTTTTATAGGTGAGGACTGACGCCAAGTATATTTCCTATCTTCTGGATAGCATGTACGCCAAGGATCAAGTAGTTCAAAAACATCAATGATTTCATCAATTTTTTTACGGGAGTTAGGGTTTCTATTATGTTTGATATTATATGTATCCATAAATTTATCTAAAACAACATTCCAGTCACCACATAATAAAACACTTGTGTTTTTAAAGGATAAAATGTTCTCCATACAAACAGGCAAAACTCAATCTTTGTGAAAAAATTGATACATCTAAAACAATGTAACGACCATTATCATCAGTAACAGAATTATGCACAACAAAATCCAGACCCTTTTTAAACATAACAGAGACACCTGCACTTTTACTGTCTTTATGACTGAAAAAACATGTGCTTCCCCATTCATCCTCCCAGTTTTTTTCAATGTCTTTTTTACTATGAGTTTCCTGGAAACACACTATCGAAGTATTTTTACTCTTAGCCCAATCAAATACATTTGCCCTCTTTTTGGAATTTGAGAAAAGTCCCCTCACATTCATTGATAATATCGTTACATTATTATCCATGATTATAGATGAAGGGATGTTTTATAAACCATATAAGTAAGTTCATAAGTACAAATATACAATTGTAACAAATTTGACATACACAAACATACACACATACAAACATAAGATGTCGCTTATTATTTTCTTCATTCAACATTGAATGTATTAATTAATTTACAGTATGGCATGTAACAATTATACATAAATCTATCAAAGGAATAGATGTTTAAAAGGGAGATTAAATTGAATATTTATATCATTAATGTTAGAGTTATTTCCCCTTTACTGTATAGTGACAGTATAATTTATTTTAAACAAATTTATCAAGATGAATATCTCTTATATTCTTCACTATTTATATAGGAATATGTAATTCACGACTGATATAAAACACTTTTTTCTTCAGCAATTATCTTTTACATTTATATCTATCTATTGAAATTAATAAAAAGCTGGACATTATTCAAAAATAAATTAAATGATGTAACTGACGAAACAAGATTGATTAAGTTCCCTCTTTCAATTTCTTTTTCATTTTTTCATCTACATAAAAATCTTTATAAGTGTTTTGCAAAATCCTCATTCATAATTTTGTAAAATAAAATTAATGTTTGAACTTCCCGTCTGATCTATAACTTTTCCCATCCCGTTTCTAAATAGAGTGATTGAGTGCTAGCATAGCTTGTTAGACCAGTGACAATACGTGCTGCTTCCAGTTGTAATTTTTCTAATCTTTCAGAATTCAATTTTCCGCAACTTATATACATATACTGATAGAAAACAAGAGACACATATTGATATTTGGATAAAAATTAAATGGACTTACCTGTTTCACGAAAATAATTTAACACATTTTAAATAGTTTGTTTCATCTAAAATAGTGTTTGATCAATTATTAAAGAAAGTTGTTCCTCACATTTTGCTTAAACGTAACATGACAAATGCCTGGTCTTCCTTCTTATAAATCATAATAAAAACTTTAAATATGATCACTTTCACCATTATCTGTCAGTGCGTTAGTGTTTTGTACAGTTCTTCACAATCTGATGTACCATCACACTGGATCATTGGACTCAATTCAAGATTTATTTCTGCACCTGCAGAAAAAACAATAATAAAAACTCATATGTTAGTACTATCAAGACATCTCCATGAGTATACAAAACTTTGATTTTTGCTTGGATGAACATTTAATGCAACAATACAAATGAGAGTTTTAGCTAGCTTTAAAACCAGGTTTAATCCATCGTTTTCTACATAAGGAAATGTCTGTACCAAGTCAGGAGTATGACAGTTGTTTTCCATTCGTTTGATGTGTTTGGGCTTTTGATTTTCCATTTGATCAAGGACTTTCCGTTTTGAATTTTCCTTGGAGTTCGGTATTCATGGTATTTTTGCTATGTTACTTTTTTCTCACAAATGATTATTTACCTTAATAAACTGTTAACACAGAGATATGTCTCTCCTATTTGTTATTTTGATAATGCAAATGTTGAAATTAAAATAGCAATACTTTAACATGTATTAAAGTTATGCAAATATTCAAAGTCAATGAACCATAACTGAAGGTACAGGGCTAAACAATCTCCATGGAAATGAGATGTGCCAATGCTAATACAACTGTAAACCAAATACCATTGACTTTTCATAAGTCGTTCCCTTTAAACAAACCTAAACACAAACAATAACTTGTAAACTATGTAAAAGTTTCAAAGTCAATGAACCATAATTAGGGGGTGGGGCTTTATAATCTCCATGGAAATGAAACTGGCAAAAGCCAATACATTTGCATACCGAATATCATTGACTTGACATTAGTGGTTCATCTTAAACTGACCTAATCACAAACTAATACATGTAAACTAAGCAAAAGTTTCAAAGTCAATAGACCATGATTGAGTGGGCGGGGCCAAATAATCTCCATGGTAATGAGATGTGCCAATGCTAATACAACTGCATACCAAATATCATTGACCTACCACTAGTGGTCCCCGTAAACTGACCTAATAACAAACTAATACATGTAAACTAAGCAAAGTTTCAAAGTCAATAGACCTTGACTGAGGGGGCAGGGCCAAATAATCTCCATAATAATGAGATGTGCCAATGCTAATACAACTGTATACCAAATATCATTGACCTACCACTAGTGGTTCCCCCTAAACTGACCTAATCACAAACTAATACATGTAAACTAAGCAAAGTTTCAAAGTCAATAGACCTTGACTGAGGGGGCGGGGCCAAATAATCTCCATGGTAATGAGATGTGCCAATGCTAATACAACTGCATACTAAATATCATTGACCTACCACTAGTGGTTCACCATGAACTAGACCTAATCACAAACTAATACATTGTTGACGCCGCTGACGCCGGAAACAGCATACTTATGTCTCGCTTTTTGACTCCATCAAGGCGAGACAAAAAGCATTATTTCTAATTCCTTGTAGATATACATCTTAATTTAAAGCACACCATCAACGTTTTACATAAAATACATTTATGCAACCAAATCCATTCAGGATTCCTATTATAAGTAAACAAATCGATAGCCTTAACTTTTGCAGTGCATGATGGGAATACAATATTTATTCAAATCACCCCAAAATTTATTAGCAAACAGCTGAAAATAGTAAGTTGACCATCAATGTGTTAATGAATAGCAGATCATATATGTTTTTCATGATATGTTTTGTTATAGATTAAGCCTTTAGTTTTCTGAATTGATTTCTTTTTACATTTTTCACGTCGTTTTTTGGTGGATAGTTGTCTCATTGGCAATCATACCACATCTCCTTATTTTTACATAGATGCCATATCACAGAAGGCTGCTGAATAAGTCGTTGGGTGCTTTTATATGAAATAATCAAATCTATGATATTATCGCTTTAGTAACACGTGTTCACGTTGAAAAATTGTCAGCGTGAAAAAGATTTTCAACACAAGTCACATTTAGTTTATAGGTTTATTGCGATCATTTTGCCATTAAAAAGATGACATGAAAACATTTGGTCGGCAAATTGTGCATTAATATTGTACTAACACTTGATACGGATTATACTTAGATGCATGTTTTTGTAATGTCTGACATATTTTGGAAATGCACGTTTCTTTAAAAATTTGTAACAAAATTCTTAAGAATAATTATAGGATTAAACACATTTTTTCTAGAGGTTATTGATGTGTAAACTAGGGCGATTAACTCACAAACTGAATAAAAGTCCGAATGACTTTTATGTTAAGTTTGTGAGTAAGCGACCCAGTTTACACATCAATAACCTCTAGAAAAAATGTGTTTAATCCTTATAATTCTTAAGCCAAACATTCGCATTTTTTAATGAACAATGTTTTGTTTATTGGCTACTATTTATCATCAAATGCACAATTGACATGTCGTAACTAATGAGTAAGCCGCCATATTGACTTTGTGACATCTATAACGATTCGATGTTCGATTAATGCTATAAAATTTAAAATGAAATAACACCTACCTCAAAAACTTCATGTTAATGAGATAGTATCCGAATTTGAAGCGTACAAGTAACGGAATAGTCATCAGCTTGAGATTTTTCATTCGTATGACGCGGGGTAAAGCCATGTTTTGCCATGACGTTAACCCGCCAAGATCATTCATGATATTTTGCGGAATTTTATTTTAATTTAATTTCATACAAAATTTCCAAGCTTTAATACATTATTTTTGTTATGTATTTGTTTTTTTAATCTCAATTTGCTTAGAACCCCTGGATCCCATGCATGAGTGTCGCGCATGAATAGATCATAGTGAAGGTTACGAAAGTAGTTTCGGCAACATGGTTTATCGAAGTTACGAAAGTAGTTTCGGCAACACGGTTTATCGAAGTATAAACCAAAGCAAAATAATCTAACGGACCAATCCGATTCAAGTATTTGTAGATATGCAAATCATATAAGAATTATCAATACATGTATATAGAATTCTGTTCATTACGTGCATCATTGACATGAACGAGAACTAAACAGGATATTCCAACCCTACTAATTGCTTACATCCACTTCATTTGAACTCTGACGAATATTTGTCTCATTAGAAATCATACCATATCTCCTTAATCTTATACTGTTTAATTATTACACATCATGAATTGCATTGGTACTGTCAGGAGGGGGAAATGTAAACAATGATAAATCTCGAAAATTGTTCCAGAGTAAACCGTCATTATATGAACATATCTGACCTGTGTTGCCTATAAACATCGTGGGAAATAAATATAAAAGCTGTGGGTTAAAACTGTAGGAAGAGTTGCGATCACGAACTAGGGTATGTATGTATTTTCCATGCTAAAATTTGAAAACAGTCTTAGTTCAACAACTTATATTTGAAGGACAGTTTCATTTAATTTGTTCAAAAAATAAATCCTCATGATATGCATGTATCCCCAGTCTTGTGTATGTTCACATACATTGCTAGACTGTAGATACTTTGCAACGATCACTCACATACCACTTATGCGGACAAACGTTATGTGGGGTAGACAATAGTAAAGTATGCCACTAACTTTAAAACTAAATTAAAAAAGTTTTGATTGTTGCAAAAGAATGGGTTCCATAAGAATGGGTTCCATTTGTTCTTTAATGAATGTTAAATAAAGTTTCTAATTTCTTAAGGTTAAATAGAGGCAATAGAAGTTTACCTATGTTTAAATTCACTAAATTCATTAAGAAGATACAAATGAAGGTAAACGAAACTTAATGAATCACATGAATTGCAACACGACAGGTGCCACATGTGGAGGAGGATCTGCTTACCCTTTTGGAGCACATGGTATTAGTTGCTCAGTTTTTTGGGGGTTTTTTTGTGTAATTTTTTGAAGACAATTGTGTGTCATTTCGTTGTTTTTCGTTATTTGTCAAGACGTTGTCGTCTCACTTTGACTCAAGGGTTTGATTGTCACTTTAATCTCTTTTTTGTCTTTTCTGTTTCATGATAATTCTACATACTTGTCCATTTTGGGGAATGGATAGGTACTATATACAGTTTATCATTACCTAATGTTCTCATTGGTACAACAGTATTCTTGTTTCCAGTGAATACATCATCAGTGCCGACATCAGGACTACCAATACTAGCCTGTACTCTCTCTGTAAGTAAAGATGGTCATTTGTTTGAAAACATAAATCCTTTTAACTAAATGATATTGTTTCTTATTAAATTGATTATGCATTTATAAGTCAAAAACGTGAATAGGCAATTGGTAATTTGAATATATTAAGGTTAAACTGTCATTATGATAGACGTTTTTATATCAAAGTCAACTTTTAAAAACTAGTGATCCTGATAATAACGTGCTCAATTGTACCAACCTTTATAATTTACCAGTTGTTTAAAATTGAGTTGGAAAGGAGAAATTCAAATTGGAAATTTAATTTTTGACACAATCACCTAAAACATATGATAATACAGTAAAATGCTTACGACCAATGAAATTGTTGGATTTAACGTTTCTTAATTGTGTATCTAGAAATGTATACTATCATTTTCTAAGTAAAGGATTATTCAGTTGGTAACTTACAATTCATATCAATTCTTTTTTTTTAATTATGTATGACCGCAACTGGACAAGTTTTTTTCTTGAAAGCGTTTTATTTTTTTAACAAAATAGATTGAAGTGAAAGAAACATGTTGATAACTTCAAGGTTTAGCAATCTTTAAAAAGACAAAACAAGTTTTTTAAAAAATCATAACAATAAAATATAACCTTATACTACCTTATATGCTTTCCAAATATCAAATAAGATCACTATTACGCATATACCTTAAAGGCATATAATTCTTTTAATTGAATTCCAATACTAGTATTTCAATTTTGGTTAACAACCTCGTACAAAGCAGAAAATTTTATGATTTGATAGAACTGTAAATTACAAAAATAGACTTCCTTTCTAAAACATGTCCTTTACCTTTAGCCATCATGTGACAAATGCTTGTCCAGAAGTCTTGATACACAAAACCAATCAAGTTTATCTGTCAATTGTCGTAACAGTGACCTAACACTTTGATGTTTTGGCGTCATTATCAATAACATTTTTCCCTTACATACTATCTTTCATGTATATAAATGTTATTAAAAGTGCAACTAGTGTAGATGTACCTCGTGAAATCACAGAGGAAAAAAAACATTGCACCTCAAATTTCTATATTTTTAACATTGACCTTAATATTGATATGGTTTCTTCTCCTTTAATATATTTTCCATTAACAAAGTTTTTTCGTTTTAACCAAACGATAAAATCTGGTTATTATCGGAACTAATTTTTCCCAAATAATTTCTAACTCCAGTAACAATGGCCTTAAAATTTGACTTATTGACCCATATATCAATAGGTGTCTTCTCCTCTCTATATCTTCCATTGAAATAATGTTTCGAATTAAATAAAAACGAAAAACTTTGATTTGATCTGGAAAAACTCACCAAAAATAACAGCCTTATAATTTTGTACGCCAGACGAGCGTTTCATCTACATCAGATTGGATTTAAATGAACATAATCTATGTTATAACGGTAAATTATAAAGTCAAGGATTTCGTTACAATGAATTACTTAAAACCTATACTAAATTCTTTCATAGATATGAAGATTTATATTTGAAGTTTATTCGTTCCTTATTACACATGGGATAGCACATTCTAATTGTTACAGTGATGTTATTTACCGAACCAGTAAATTTAGATATGATCCGTTTAAACGTATCGATCATTTAGGTAAACTTATTCTAAAGTGTTACACATTTAACCCTGTTATTAGATCTTTGAATATTGTATTTATCGATATAAATAAATATTTATTTTGTTATCGATAGATTAAAACCCAACTAAATATTATTGTTTTACACATATGTACATTCACTGTCCTACAATATTTCGATTCTTACATTTTGCACTGCACAGGTTCTTGTTTTTCTTTGACTGTTAATAATGTCTTTAAACTGAATCCTTTGGAAGTTGGTTTGTACGATTAATATTTTAGTCTTAGATACATTATTTTCTTATAAGATGTTAATGGTTTTGAACTAGCTTTCAGTAACTGTGCGCACTTCAGATTTGTGTCTTTTGTGTTTTATAAATTTGTGTTTTTGTTTTTGGGTTTTGCAATATATATTGCGTCATATTAGGATAAATGAATAAAACAATCTTTCGTACATGTCATCCTATAGCAATCGTTCACCCGTGTTTCCACTGTGGACGAAAATATGTTAGATATCAACTGTATATATGGTAATATGCATTACATTTGATAATTCTAATAGACTATTTTCATATTACTGACTTTTGACTTTATTTATATTTGTATTTTACCCCTCGCTTTCGCTATGGATAAAATAATTGAATATGAATGCCCAACCCATGGTTAAATGAAAACAAATCTACGGCTGCCATGAATTATTTCTGAATTTTATTGTGAACAAATTTGAAATATTACCTGGGTTTCCCGTCAGACGACCAGAAGGTACTAACAGAGATTCTGCATACCCTGCAATATTACCATTGTATTGATCTTTTGAATTTGGTCCTTGATACCCTTGAATACAATTACAATGAACATTGAAAGTGTAATACGAATATGAGTAAGATAACTGAAAGTATAATACGAATATGAGTAAGATAAGTGAAAGTATAATACGAATATCAGTAAGATAAGCTGAACTATGCACAGGTCACACATGACTATCATTACCTTATTTTAATATTAGTACTGTTTACATAATTCATCTTTTTTCTCTTTCATCTACCCAAGTGATTCACACGTCTTCTGGTAATTTGTCGTTTCGTTGCTGTCTCATTGACGTATATCAAACACACCCTTTTATTCATAAATGATGGGTAATGCTGATTGCTGTATATTATCATTAAATGGTAATGGTGGTCAGTTGAAAACACAATAAGAAAACATTCTTTCACGCATGGCTATGAACTTTTACTACAAAAGAGATGATTTTAGCTTCCCAATTGTGAACTTTCCATTTCTATGCAGCAACATTCCAGCAGCGCCTGCATACGGAGTATATATCTCCCAGCTGATACGATATTCCAAGCCTTGTATTTCCTATCATGATTTCCTTGATAGAAGGTTGCTGCTCATAAGGAAGCTATTAAACCAAGAATTCCAAGTGGTGAAGTTGAAATCGTCCCTTCGTAAATTTTACGGACGCCATCATGATTTGGTTAACCTTTATGGAATATCCGTTTCACAGATGGCAATGGATATGTTCCAATTGTCATAACTACAATCCCGTCCCCTTTTCCCCGAATGTGACTTACAGAATAAGACATCACAGGGTTTGTACTAACATGAGCAACACGACGGATGCCACATGTGGAGCAGGATCTGCTTACCCTTCCAGAGCACCTGAGATCACCCCCAGTTTTTGGTGAGATTCGTGTTGCTCAGCATTTGGCTTTCTATGTTGTGTTTTGTGTACTGTTTTTTTACATTTTGTCTTTTTCTTTTTTAGCCATGACGTTGTCAATTTATTTTTGACTTATGAGTTTGAATGTCCCTTTTGCATCCTTCGCCGCCTCTCTTTTATAGTATTTGAGTAAACAGACACATTGTGGTCGAACAATTAGTACAAATTCTCAAAAGAAAGTCTAGTTTTTATCCAGTTGGACTGCAGTTTCTGTTATTTTCAAGACGCTGAAGGTGAGCATAAAGTGTGACAAAGACGACAACAACGCATATGTGTATTTTTTTTTTTTTGTTGTGATCTCACTGACGAATACCCTAAACTTCACTTATATCTTAAATATGTGCTATGCAACCATAAAAAATGCAAGCTTTCATTTTTTGTAAATGTAAATTCTGGTTTTCTAGTTTACTTACAATTCTTGCAGTATAAATTTTAAAAAGTGTCCTGAATGCTTCGGGTATCAAAGTTATCTTAAATTGCGCTCTCCAATAGAAAACTTCATTCATTTTAGGGATATATGGATCTTATATGTTGGGAACTATGACGTAGGTAATGTTTTAGACTACAAAGAGCAAAATGCATTTAGAATATATCACCTGTTGTTTCTTGAACACAGCGATGTACACTTTGTTGGTGGTGTACACAACTCTGAGCAACAGCAACATCGTTGCTGTCACCATTATTTTCATATATGTCAGACTCGTCATCTTTCTTTATTTCTGCAATATAAATCCCAGTATTTTGAACTATTCAAAGTTACTTTGATGGCATGTTTGGAAAAGATTCATTCAAAATATTCTGATGCAGCAAGGAGATGATATGATATTTTTCAACAAAACAAAAGTGATGGCATATCTTTTTTCCGTTTTATGGACACTTGAAATTCAAACGAAATGTTTATGAGTTCAAGTCAAAGCTCTGCCTTATTTTGAAGAACATGCTATATGAAATAAAAATTTTAGAAGATAAAATGCACAATTGCTGGTTCAAAATTGGTATCGTATTTAGAACTATGATTCTAATTTTAATTTCAATTCTTATTATGTGTGGAAAATTTGCCAAACAATTAGGTATAAACTGGGATAAAGGACAATTCCAGTTGGTATATTGATTGATCATGGGCATGTAACTGATTCCAGGATGTTAACGTTGCCAGTTACCTGAAGAACAGCATTTAGGCAGAGTATTTTGAATATAGGATAAAAATGACAATTTTTTATACATCCTTGGCTTTCAAGTTTTTCGGTTTGAGCGTTCCTGGTGAATTGAATATAGAAAAGTGCTTTGGATACAAAATTATAAAGTGTAAACTTAATGTTTTACTGCTGGGTGAACTTTATTTACATCAGACCTTGTATGAGATGTGGCCTGTCTTGAAAGGATTAATTAAAGGCGATTCATTGCCTGTACTGCAAAATAAATTTAAGTAACAATTTTTTCTATTATATTATGTGTTTTTATACATGTTTTGATTATAGTTAAGCTAAGTAATTACAGATCTTTTATAAACAGCCATCAAACAGGAGACTGACCTGGTTTTTGTGGATTTCTGCATTTCAGCCAAATACATATCCCTGCTAAAAAAAAAATCATTGCAGAAAAATTCTATATATTTATATATGTTAATCAAACAAATAGCAACAATAAATAACATTTAGGAATTCAACTTGCCTTGCTTGTTTCAGATACTTCGTCCTTTCAAAAGGATTATTATTCATTTATTCACAATTATCCACCTGTAAGAAGGTCAACCCAATGCTGAAGACAGGTTTGAATAAGTATGCAACATGTTAGGGGTGCGATACTTACACACAAATTTCTCCAACAGAGTTATGAGGAACAACAATTGAAATCAACACAATCAACATACGTTTTACTGTCACCATCACGAATTGGTTGACCGATACGATGTGTCGTGTCTCATGTTTTAGCGGCCATATATTTTTTGTTACCATCTGTAATTTTACCAACAGTTTCCTATTCCTGATTGTGACATTTTGACTGAATGTGAATTCGCAAGGTGGATGATGCATGCATAGCAGGTGACTAATACCCTGTAGATGCACCTGGTCTCGATCCTTTTAGAGTTCTTGCGACTACCTCGATGTTTGTTTGTAATCTTGATTTGTCTCTTCTTGAACAGATCAAAAAATTTTAAACGACTGAAGTTGGCCCAAAACCACAATTTTTACAGATTTGTCTCTTCTTAATTATATAAACAGATAAAAAAATTATAAACGCCTGAAGTTGGCACAAAACCACAATTTTGACAGATTTTGATAAGTTTTTAATATTTATGTAAGGACATGGGTAACCAAAATTATGTTGGAACAAAAGCTATGTACATGTATTTTCTTTCGGATGTAAATTAGTAAATGTTGGTTAGCGACGTCCTTCGGCGGTGCAAAATTGGCCAAAAACTGTATCAAATGTCTCCAACAGCAATTGTACAGCGCTGAATAGCATTTTAATTTAATGGAAATATGTGAAATTGTGAAACAATATTTTACGTTTATGTTTTAGGCTCTCTGGTATTAAATTTTCAGTAGGATTGGACAACTTTTAAATGTTGACCCTGTGAGTGAAACAATTATAAGGGAAATTGTCCCTACCGCTTTGAAAAAAATACCAATAAAGTATAATTATGAGGTTTCCTAGTTTATATAGAGTCTGGCATCATTATTAAAACTTTTATCAATCAAGAAAAAAATTGCTTCCAAACCAACCTTAAATTTTGAGTAAACAAAAATAAATGCCATAAATGGTCTTTTTTGTTCAAATAAGTATGATTAAAAGGATTAAGAAAAAATCTATTTTTATCTGTCATTTTTCCACTTATATCTTCCATCTGTCGATCACAGTTTGTGTCAAATCAGCAAGGGTAACTATAACTACTATCCAGAAATCATTCGTCCAAGAATCTATTTTTAGTAACAGTCACGTTTCCCTCTTTCATTTATCATCCATTTTTATATGTATTGTTTCAATTATTCAAGAGAAACACTAGTTACCACCCGACAACCATTTGAATTCAACGATGTCAAACGGTTATATAGTGTATCGTATCACTCAGTAATACTTAAAAATATGCGGACATCAAACAACTCTTAAATTATTGATATGAACATATGTATGTTGATAATATGTATTCAATCTATGATTTGACAAGGTGTTTTTTCATTGGAATTCTGAATGGGCAAAACGTTCAAGATAAGCAGAGTAAAGTCTGATTACATCATACTTGAACTTTAATAGAATTAACATGTGAAATCATTAAATTAAGCACTTTAATTAAAATAATATTTCTTTTTTTTGTATGAAAACATAAAAAAAAATATTCCCTTAAAATTTCTTTTTTTTCCATTTTTTCTTAATTTATTTACTTTTTACTATTCCAATATGGTAAAAGTTACTTTATATATTTCTTACCTGCAATGATAACGATGATAATAAAAGCAAGTATGACAGAAACCACAATGGCATCAGTTTCCCATGAACCTGAACCGTCGTCTGATAAAAAATACAGATCTAGTAAGTTTTGATTTTATTACACCAAAAATACATCTCTCCCTTTTTCTAGTGTTTGTTACAAAAACTACTTTGAATTGCATCGTCAACTAAATGCATAAAAACTAGAAAAATCTACTTTTCAATAATTAAAAATTTTACCATTATGAAAATTATAAATAGAACTGTAAAACATTTTGATTAGCACACAGAAAATTGCATTTAACAATGTCCTGAAAAAGACAAATATGTGCAAATTCAAATGTTTTGCCCAACAGGTTAAACAGTACTGAAATAAACTATTGACACGGATGAACGTCTCATCTGTGCATTATCTTGTTAGTATAATGCACATGTTGAAACTTTACAGTCGAAAAAAGATATAACAAGCATTCTGAGAGTATTGCATGGCAATAAATAGTCCCCTACCGGTTAAAAATTAATTGTACTGGAACAAAATGCTAACTTGATCTATAACTTGTCATGGTGTAAACTATATAACAAATATCAAGTCAATATCTTCAAGCATGACGAAAAAAAGTGTGGAAAACTGATAATTTAAGTGAATTTTCTAAGTCCAAGGACCATAACTCTGCAAAAAATCATCAAACTGAAACAAAATTCAAACTTGGTCTGTAACTTGTCATGATAAAACTATATACCAATTATCAAATCAATATCTTCAAGCATGACGAAAAAAAGTGCGGAAAACTGATTATTTGAGTGAATTTTCTAAGTCCAAGGACCATAACTCTGCACAAAATCATCAGACCGGAACAAAATTCGAACTTGATCTGTAACTTGTCATGATAAAACAATGTACCAATTATTAAATCAATATCTTCAAGAATGGTGAAAAAAATGGCGGAAAACTGAATATTTGAGTGAATTTTCCAAGTCCAAGGACCATAACTCTGCACAAAATTATCAGACCGGAACAAAATTCGAACTTGATCTGTAACTTGTCATGATAAAACAATATACCAAATATCAAATCAATATCTTCAAGCATAAAGAAAAAAAATGTGGAAAACTGATTTGCCACACTGACAGAGGGACAGACAGACGGACGGAGTGCAAACCTTAAGTCCTCTTCGACTTCGTCGGTAGGGGACTAATAACAAATAAAACTCCAAGGTAAATTCAACTAGAGGCTCTAAAGAGCCTGTGTCGCTCACCTTGGTCTATGTGCATATTAAACAAAGGATTCATGACAAAATTGTGTTTTGGTGATGGTGATGTGTTTGTAGATCTTACTTTACTGAACATTCTTGCTCCTTACTATTATCTCTATCTATAATGAACTTGGCCCAGTAGTTACAGTGGAAAATATTTTGTAAAAATTTACAAAAATTTACAAAATTTATGAAAATTTTAAAAAATTGACTATAAAGGGCAATAACTCCTTAAGGGGTCAATTGACAATTTTGGTCATGTTGACTTATTTGTAGATCTAATTTTGCTATACATTATTGCTGTTTACAGTTTATCTCTATCTATAATAATATTCAAGATAATAACCAAAAGCTGCAAAATTTTCTTAAAATTACCAATTCAGGGGCAGCAACCCAACAACGTGTTGCCTGATTGGTCTGAAAATTTCAGGGCAGATAGATCTTGACCTAATGAACAATTTTATCCTCATCAGATTTGCTCTAAATGCTTTGGTTTCAGAGATATGAGCCAAAAACTGCATTTTACCCTATGTACTATTTTTTAGCCATGTCGGTCATCTTGGTTCGTGGGCGGGGTCATCGGACACATTTTTTAAACTCGATACCCTAATGATGATTGTGGACAAGTTTGGTTAAATTTGTCTTAGTAGTTTCAGAGGAGAAGATTTTTGTAAAAGATTACAAAAATTTACGAAAAATGGTTAAAAATTGACTATAAAGGGCAATAACTCCTTAAGGGGTCAACTGACCATTTTGGTCAAGTTGACTTATTTGTAGATCTTATTTTGCTGAACATTATTGCTGTTTACAGTTTATCTCTATCTTTAATAATATTCAAGATAATAACCAAAAACGGCAAAATTTCCTTAAAATTACCAATTCAGGGGCAGCAACCCAACAACGGGTTGTCCGATTCATCTGAAAATTTCAGGGCAGATAGATCTTGACCTGCTAAATACTTTTACCCCGTGTCAGATTTGCTCTAAATGCTTTGGTTTCAGAGATATAAGCCAAAATCTACATTTTACCCCTATGTTCTATTTTTAGTCATGGCGGCCATCTTGCTTGGTTGGCCGGGTCACCGGACACATTTTTTAAACTAGAAACCCCAATGATGATTGTGGCCAAGTTTGGTCAAATTTGGCCCCGTAGTTTCAGAGGAGAAGATTTTTGTAAAAGTTAACAACGACGGACGACGACGACGACGGACACCAAGTGATGAGAAAAGCTCACTTGGCCCTTTGGGCCAGGTGAGCTAAAAAGGGGAAGTCCATAAAAACAAAAACAAAAATCAAACGGTCGACTTTATCAACCAACTGGGAATATCTGTCATATTCCTGACTTGGTACAGGCAATTTCCGAAGAAAATGATTGAGCGGAGGCCTGCAGGGCCAACGGCCATTATTTCCTGGGAATAGACAGTTATTTGGACTTTGGCTAACTTAAAATACACCTTAAATATTACAAATGAATCTTCTGGGTATAATATTTTAAAGAATTTTATTTCATTTTGTAATGGTTTTCTTTTCATTTCCCCCGTGTTGTACCAGATTATTCGCAGGCAAAAGTTTCCTGCATGCAGGCATAACCAAAAAAGTGATGGCAACTGGTTGCTTAATTTCAGAGAGAGAATATGGAATTGATAATGGTAACACGTTCACGTAGTGACGGGGTCATTAACATATCAAGTATTATGTCTTGAAGTTTTGTAGTACTTGTCAAATATGGTTTTATTTTGGGAATGTTTCTCGAATCTTTATTTATCCTATATATATCCCATTTTTCCAAATTAAAATAACTATTGTGACCATCTCCAACCTTAACATTATCTATTATAACAATTCTTATCTTGTCTTGATCGCCCTGAAAATATTTCTTTAGTAATTAATAGCTTAAAGTACAGAAGTTCATATTGCCAATAAATAAAACCAAAAGGGTTACACATGTTAATTCACAGCTAAGGCCAAAACAATATATGCATAAAAATAAGGAGCTGTGGTAAGATTACCAATGAGACAATTATCTACAAGATATCAAACGACGTAGATGTAAGCAGCTATATGTCACCGTACGGTCTTCAACAATGAAAATAACCCATACCGTATAAGCTATAGAAGGTCCCGATATGACACAATGTAAAACAATTCAAACGGGAAAACCAACGGCACGATTTATGATAAAACAATAAATGAAAAACTAGTATGACAGACAGCAACCAACCACACCCATTGAATTACAGGCTCCTAGCTTGTTGCCTGCCGAATGGCAGAAAAGCATATGGTAGGAAAGTAGGTAAAATGATTTTATTTTGAAAACTACTTGTAAACATGGTAAACAGGGAAAGATATAATATTGATTTTACTTTAACGGTGCTTTAACAAAAAATCTTGACATTAACAGTGCAAAGTACCCATATAATATATTAGGGTGTGCAGGAAAAATTTAGAGTAGATAGGTAGACAGGATCAGAACTATATTTGTTGGCCGAATAAGAACTCTTTTCTACTTATTTCTCTCATGTTTGTCAAATTTCTGATTAGTTGGTTTCCTTTAAAGCTGCAATTATTTAACGTACCTCTATTTTTGTCATGTGATGTGTTCCTTTGGCAAGTACAATTTTCACTTGAAGGGTCACAATATGTTTCCATACTATGGAGAGAAAAGTTCACCTCACAAAAGCACAGGTTGTTTTCTTTAGAGTTTGTTACATAAGTCAGTTGCCCTTTTTCTGTGCAGTTGCGTTTATGTTTTGGCATGTCTATTTGATTGGATCTGTAAATCGTATCCGTATAATACATAGCAGGACAAGGAACTGAGGTTACTTGCATTTTCTTTTCCCATTCAATACACACTGGACAGTCACCTTAAAATAAAATTAAAATCTTCAGAAAGATTTTCATCCTGATATATAAATAGGCATTGGCACTTTTCAAAACAAATTGTATTTAGAACTTTTTATCAAAAAACGAAGAAATAAGTTTTCAATCGCGATCATAATACTACAATTGCAAACCAAGACTGTTTTTTTTATCATGTGATAATTGTTAAAAGGTAAAAACAATGTAAGTCTGTGTATAAGTACATTGCGGGAAAATGAAAAAAAAAATCAATTATGTCCTGGCTATATATACTGTATATTTTCATCAAAAAGACTATTTCATCCAAGTTAAGTAAAATTCTTTGAAAGTTTGACAATCAGTTTTTTAAGGATAAGAGTTATTGATGTTTGAAAAGATTTAACCTTATACTGTATCTAAACTTTAACAACAAAACACTAACTACTGTAAAAAACAGCAAAAATGGGATAAACATTATTTTTCCTTCAGTACCAAGAGCACAACCACCCCTTCTTAATTCAAATAGCCCTCCACCTAGAGGTTATCAAAATACCAAAGAACAATGAAATTATTTGTATATCTCAATTTTACTGTCTGTAGAACCTTTCTTTTTATTACTGATTTCAATACCATAAGCAAAATCATAAAGCAGTCATGATAATAATGAGTAAAGGGCAATAGTTTTTTTATGGAATTTATTGGTGGTTATGTAATGTCTGCATGTGTTGTATTACTCATAATTTTTGCAGTTCACAGTTTCTGTATATCTATTATAATTTTCAAGGTAATAATCAAAATATTAAAAATTGTCAAAAATCTTAATTAAAGCACAACAACTCCTAGATGGAGTTGTCTGATGGTTTCAGTCATATTGGTATTTTCGTATATCTTGTATTACTGGTCTTTTTGCTGCCAGTTTCCGCCTTTAAGGATGTTCGCTCCTCTTGTTTTTGATTTTTTTGTCAGATATTCAGAATGCTCTGGTTTTATCCATGTTTTTCCATAAAGAAATTTTGTCCACTAACCCCTACTTTTCTTTTCATAATTTTATTACATATAGTTAAAAAAGCCATATTTGAAAATCTTATAAAATCCTTGTTATTTTTTCAATGTTTTTGAAAGAAAAAAGGTGCCAATGTTAAATGTAAGAAAAATCTAGAGAGAATCATTTCCCGCCAAATTTTCAATAGCTTATATCTCGAAAACAAGCACACGGACCCTACATTTTTTTCTGCTTTTTTAGTTCCTTCATTTATATACTATCAATTTATGACAGTCTTTCAAAAAGCTTGTTATTTTGAAACAGAGTAGCGAACATCCTTAAGTTACAGTTTCAGCGATAAATGTCATTTACAAAAACTCATAAAACAAGTCAGTTGATGTTTTCAGTCATGTAAAGTGATTAAAGATCTTGAATTGCTGATCATGTTCTTTCCAGTTTCTTTCTCAAATATAGTTTTCACAATAATAAACAACCATTTTAGTCTTGGACGCATGATTTTATTTATTAGTTATTATTTGCTTTGAACTAGATGTCAGTAACTGCAAGTACTCTCAGATCTGTACGTAGTGTCTTTTTGTTATGGGGATGTATAAGTACCCTGCCACGTCCACTCTGTGTTTTTGTTAGATGTATTTCTGCTTTGTATCGATCTGATGTGTAAGCCCTTTTCAACTGATTTTTATAGTTTGTTCTTATGTTGTACTGTTACATCACTGTCCCAGGTTAGGGGGCGGGTTGGCACGCCTTCAAACTAGTTTAACCCCATAACATTCTGTATGTGCCTGTCCAAAGTCAGGAGCCTGTAATTCAGTGGTTGTGGTTTGTTGCTGTATATCATATTTGTTTTTCGTTCATTATTTTGTACATAAATAAGGCTGTTAGTTTTCTCGTTTGAATTGTTTTACATTTGTCATTTCGGGGCCTTTTATAGCTGACAATGCGGTATGGGGTTTACTCATTGTTGAAGGCCGTACGGTGACCTATAGTTGTCTGTGTCATTTGGTCTCTTGAGGAAAGTTGTCCTATTGGCAATCATACCACATCTTCTTATTTTTATAAAAAAAGATTTCAATCATATTAATATTTTTGAAGATCTTGTTTTGCGGATCATTTTTCGTTGAACATTTTTGTTGCTTACAGTTTCTGTCTACATATAAAAGTAAATGTTGTTAAGATAATATAATATGTGAAACCACTTAATTGTGTACAGCAAACGTTATTTCAGGGCAATTACTCCCAGAATTAGTTTTCTGATTGTTCTGTAAGTAATACAGATCGATTTTTATTTTTATGTGTACAGACGTACAATTCAACTCAGAACTCAATTTTAAAAGTGTATTGATGTACGTGTACTGTTAATACGTAAAACGATAATTCCCCATTCAATGGTTGCACGATATACGAATTGCATACCTACTCTTTGTCTCAGTCGTCCAGTAGCGGATAAAGATAGTTTTATAAATAGCAAAAGATGCAAAATTTGGTAAATGTTTTTATCGAAATGCAATAACTATATAAGGAGTTGTATTGATGAATTCAATCATATGTTGAATTCTTTGTAGATCTTGTAATGCTGATAATTCATGGTTCAATATTAAAGTAAAAAAAAAAACCTTCATTTGTCAAAATTAGTCTGTAAAAAGTAAAATAACAAAAATACCAAACTCAAAGGAAAATTCAAAACAGTAAGTTCCCTATCAAATGGCAAAATCAAAAGCTCAAACACATCAAACGAATGGAAAACAACTGTCATATTCCTGACTTGGTACAGGCATTTCTTTATATGGAAAAGGGTGGATAAAATCCTCTCAGTTGTATGACAGTCGCATTGAATTCCGGTGAAAAACACTGATGAAAACTTGGTTCAAGACAACTGTTAATTGACACAATCAAAGTTTTGGTCAACGATTTTTTTAAATAAAAGTCGGGAAAGAAATTCAATGTTTGAAAAATTATAAGGCTCACATTTATATCCTAAAGTACGATAGAATTTCTCGTTCACTATGTCTTCTATTTATGAACCAACCAGCAACATTAATATGTATTGACAACAATAAGAGCAACAATTATAAGGAGTCAATTGACTGTTTCAGCCATATAAGTGTAAGTCTAGATCTTGTATTGCTGATTAGTTTATCTGTGTACAGTTTCTGTCTATCTGCTAGAACGGAAGAAATGGATACACATTTTTGATTAGGGTCAATAACTCCTACATATGGATTGGCGTCAGATACTCAGATAACTAGTTTAATACATGTACTTGTTTTTGAGCGGAATGTATGTTACTATACATGTTAATGCCTCTAGCTATGCATGAACAATTTTCCCTACATTTAAACAAAAACCACTATTCATTCGAGAATTTCAACTTGGGACGCACAAAATTTAAAAAGTTTTATTTTCATTTTTTATAGCACTAGTTCGATGTCCCTGCTGGTGGGCTAATAGTCCTGAAAGTATCATCAGCCCAGTAGTCAGTACTTTGGTACTAACATGATTGTTAACTTAACTCCTAAACTGTCCGTTTATAAACTGGTAAAATATTAAGAAACTAAGGTTCCAACTCCCTTAGGCAAAGATGAACTTAGATTGATTTGGCTATTATTTTTAGGTCCATTTTTGTCATTAGGCTCTTCAACTGTTTCGGTTCTTATACATCCTTGGCTTTCAAAATTTTGGTTTTGAGCGTCCTTGATGAATGTAAATCTAGAGAAGTGTTCAGGCGTATAAAATGTATATAGTCTTATTTTTATTTCATTTAAAGAAATTATAACATAAAATTTTAATACAATTTGAAAAGCAAATGAAAAAAAAAAAACATTCATTAATACTTACCAGGTACAAAAGACTTTGCATCATTACATATCAACACAAACTTGTTCCAGTCCGGAAAATGAGGTAAACAGTGTCGTCTTTCAACTGTACAGTTGTTTCGTAGTGATGGGCATTTATAACAATACAAACCCTATACATAAAATATACATACGAATATACAAACATATGATGATAATGTCTAAAGTTCTTAAAATTAAAGTAAGATAATCTGTATTAAAGGAGTAGAAAATAATCTGTATATAGCAACTGTGTTACTGTAGCTAATTTATTCTAAATGAATTATGTGTGCTTATTGTCAGAAATTCTGCCTCATTCTCCTTGTTTTTTTCATACAGAATACAATAGTTTAAATGGTGATCTTTCTCACATTATCACAGTATATTAGAGTACAATGTATATCATTATATAAAACTTACGATTATGAATACCGATAGCATCAAAATTAAAGTAGCCATGGTCTAATATACCTGAAAACAGAAACATTCCTAAATAAAACCAGTGGTAAATTAAAAAAAAACATCTTTAGCTGAAGATACCGTTTGAAAGAAGCTGACTGTTAATTCTAGAACTTATTAGAGATTTAAAATCAGGCACCTTAAATTTGTGAGGTAAAAGCTCTGTTTAGACTGAACGTTTTCCATTCAAACCTAGGTCACAAAAAACACTGATGAAAACTTGGTTAAAGACAACTGTTAATTGACACAATCAAAGTTTTGGTCAACGATTTTTTTAAATTAAAGTCGGGAAAGAAATTCAATGTTTGAAAAATTATAAGGCTCACATTTATATCTTAAAGTACGATAGAATTTCTCGTTCACTAAGTCTTCTGTTTATGAACCAACCAGCAACATTAATATGTACCTTATTGTGCAGAATATGCGATACTGTGCAGATAAGGAGAAAAAATATTAAAAAATCTTAAGATTTGTGCAACGATACTAATTTAAGATGGTAATATACGAAGATGATGGTA